CTGAAAAATGAAATTTCTGCGCACGCACCCCAAACGAGCAGCAACGTCCCAAGTACCGATCGGGTGGGGGTAGCGCGGTCAATTTAAACGTCTCTTGAGAGAGAGCGATGTAGCGTTGTGATTGAAGCTCCATCAAGCTAGTGGTACCAGCTCCTGGTGAAAAAAAAAAAAACTACCGACGATGTTGCCACTTTTTCGCATGGATTAATATTTTTTCATTTATTTAAAAAAAAATCTGAAAACCATTCAATGCGTGGAACACTTACAAATATATTTGATTAGCTCCAAAAATAATTTTCAACCGAAGATACGCTCTAATATTGCCTGAATTTTTATTCCGAATGGGACAAATTTTTTTTTTCAACGATTGGTTTTCTGCAGGAAAACAATAGAAACCCCTCCGCCTCACCTCCTACATTTCCTCCTCGCCCGATTATCCTTAAATTGAATTGAAAAGAACAAATTTCACCGGATGTAAAAACAGTCCAGGCTTATTTTGAAAAAAATAATAAAATCTGCCTAAAAACATGAAAACAAATGTTTTTGTAAAAAAACTGGGCCAAGAAAAAGTTTTGTTTGATTCCTACTGGGAAGTCGAAGTTTTTGAAAAATACATAGAAATAAAAAAGGAAGTCAAGTCAGGAATTTTGATTAAATGGTAATAGTGCACAATCAGGTTTCTATCAGAAAAATAGTTCTCAATGGAATAAGTATTCTCAAAAAATTCTCCATGAAATAAGAAATCAGTAGGAGCAAGACCAACGTTCTTGGCGCGAAGTTTTTCAACTCTCTGTCTGTATCAATCTACTCCTCCAGCTTTTGATCCGCGCTGAGGACGTTGGTTCTGCTCCTACTGATTTTTTATTTCATGGAGAATTTTTTTAGAATACTTATTCCATTGAGAACTATTTTTCTTATAGAAACCTGATTGTGCACTATTACCATTCATTCAAAATTCCTGACTTGGCTTCCTTTTTTATTTCTATGTATTTTTCAAAAATTTCGACTTCCCAGTAGGAATCATACAAAACTTTTTCTTGGCCCAGTTTTTTTACAAAAACATTTGTTTTTGTGTTTTAAGGGTAAAATATAAAGCTCTAAAACAAGGGTCAAAACTGGATCAAAAAAAGGATCACGAAAATAAGTGTAAAAATTAAGGGTCACGAGGGTCAGTTTTATTTCCATTTTTTACTTTAATTTCTGACCCTTATTTCTCAACCTGACCCTTTCGCTCTTATCTATGACAATCATTTTTTACCTTGGCACCTTACCCTCGTCACCCTTAATTCTAACTTTTTTTACCCTCATTCCTTCACTATTATCTTTGAAGATTTCCCCCTATGACTGACTCTTATTTCTAATCCTTATTGCTGAGCCCTATATTTGACGTTTATTTCGGACCCTCACGCCTGACTTTTGTGACCCTTAGTTTTGAACTCCATTTTTGTTTTAACTCTTATTTCTGAGTCTCATTCTCTTGACTGAAGTTTCTCTTCCCCACAGCTGACCCTCATTTTTTTACTGTCACACTTGACCCACGTGACCCTTAGTTTTGATCCTTGTTTCTGACCTTCATTTTTTAACCTTACATCTTCTCTTAATTCTGACCCTTACGCCCGAACCTCGTGACCCTCAGTTTTGACCCTTGTGGAATTTGTAAAATTTATTATTATGATTGTTATTTTTGTTAGTCCTATTATTATCAGTGGTGTGTTCAAAATCGTTCATTTTGCAGTTTTTGGCAACTAAAACATTAATTGTTGGGAAGAATAATAAGGATAAATTTCAGAAAAATTAATAATAATCATTAATTAATAGTCAAATAGTCAGTAACATCAACAAATACTAATCAATCAATTAATATCATAACTTTAGGTCGATTCATAATTCATATGGACGATACGATCTTTCAATTTTTAGAATCGTGCGTTAGTCTAGTGGTTAGGTCATAGAATTGGTATGCGTAGTGTCGTGTGTTCGAGCCCATCATAGGTAGAATATTTCAAGTTGCGCAAATTGGATTTTTCGGCGGTATCTGAGTGCCGGATCGTTAATTAGCGAAAAGTAATTAATGTGAGCGCGTGTCATTCGTTTTTGCTTCGGAATGGAAGCCTTGTATTTGACGGATTTTTCGATTCGCTAATTTTGATCGGAAATGATGTAGAATGTCATGAAACGTGGAGAAATTATGTTTTTACGTCATGTCTGTATGTATGTGTGTGACAACTTGGATTCTGGATGAACAATTTTTCGAAAATTCAACATAAATACGGTGAAATCGGTAGATAGAAATCTGAAATTTTGGATCCTGATAGCTATGAATGAACTCTATTTTGGCGCGCTGATTCAGCCTAATTCCTGAAATATATGCAGTTGTTTAAATTTCGTTTTTCATCAATATCTCGGAAACTACTGCACCGATTTCAATTTTATTTTTAAATACTCGGCTCGATGACCTCTATCCAGGCCAATCAAAACTTATATGCCGATCGCAGAAAGTTTCAGAGATATTGCCGTTTTTCTGTTTTTTCGCTGAAAATCTTATTCGCACGATAATTTGAGAAAAAATTGAGTTAGCGAGTTGAAATTGGGTATGGTGCTAGCTCTCATAATAATAAAGGTTGGTATTTTAGATGGGTGCAATCGGCCCAGCGGTTCCTGAGATATTCGACTTTTTGTGTAAATATGTTTTGTAAAATATCTCGCAAACTCCTTGACGGATTTGAATTTTTTTTTCAAAATACTCGTCTTAATGGCCACTATCTAGATTCATCAAAATATATATACCCGTCCATACAAAGTTACGAGATATCGCCGTTTTTCTGTTTTTTTTCTTTTTATTCTTCTACGCACGATACCTTGAGCAAAAACGAAGATAGCAAGCTGAAATTTGGTACGATCATAGCTTTCATAATCGAGTGGTTTCGGAAATATTCAAATTTTTATGAAAAACTATTTCTTCAAAAAGTTGAAGAATCATATATATATATATATATATAT